AGTCTTTCGGTAAACAAGACTGAGAATTGCAAGTGCTTAGTTGTAAATATATTTTTCTAGCTGCAATAGGAAGAGATCTAGGTAAGAAAAAGTTTGCATTCTAGAAATTAACAAATTAAGGGATCAAAATACAATTCTTAGACCAATATACTTACAAACAGAAAGTTATTATGTAATAAAATGTCAAAAGTAAGTTGATTTTTAAAATAAGGGGCAATTAACTTTGGGGCGGAGTTCTGGAAGTACCTACACAAGTACCCACACAAGTTCCACACAGAGAATGCCAATTCTTAAAATGCAAATACTTTGGGGAGATAAAAATACTTCTAGGTGCCTTTTAATTATGTTTAAAACTCCAGGATGAGCCAATCATTTCTGTGCTAATTGGTTATACTCTAATTGTAAATCATTTGTTTTAATTTGTTGATATCGGTACTAGTACATGAATTTTGAGAGCCTGTTGAAGACAGAGTTTGTCCCATGGAAATGAAACCTCTACACCTGGAGTTCCTAGAGGGTAACTCATGCCTGCAGATATTGTTCAAAGTGTTTTAAAAATCAGGAAATATTACATAAAATTTCAGGCTGCTTTTAAACACTTTAAGATCTGGCCATTAACTAAGGACTAGATCCTTCAGGAAACCATTGGCTGGAGGTGAGTAGCCCGAGTGCCCTTGACTGCGGTGCTCTCCAATCCCCTTATTCTCACCACTCTTACGCCGAATCAAATCATTTCAATCATTCTTGTTGCCTGTAGGCAATTCATTTTGTGACTGCTCTCCTACCGAAACAACCACCTCATTACATTACTCCAGAGTGCTGTGATCTTGGCCATGCCTACAACCCAGCCTTTGACACAGGTGCCGTATTTTGGTGTTTTGTCTGTGCTTTCCTGGGACACTTCCCACCCATTCCAACCTAGGGTTTGGCTTCTCTCTTCTGCCTTGGTACTTGAAAGCTAACTCTCGTCTCACAGGCTGAGGCACCTGATATTGCCCTAGGTCCACCCAACAGACTGAATACGACTAGCTTCTTACTGTCAGTGTCCCTGTCGTAGATCCATTGCACAAATGGCTCCAACTTTCCATACCTCCCACATCCTTTGGTATGTGTGGGAGTGCCTTCCCACACTGACTCTGAGCTTGACCTTGTGTCATGCTTTGGCCAATGTCACCTTAAGGATTGACCCAAACAGAGCCTTTAAAATGTACATTTCTACTTCTCATCTTGCCTCTGATTGCTTTGAAATCATACTCAAGCTAGGCTAAGAACATGCCTGCAGGGTCACCTGTTGAAAGAATATGAAAGGAATGAACAAATAAGGGACACAAGGTCCCAGCTGAGGCTATCTTATGCCAGCCTACAGTCGGCTGACCCCCATGTTAATGAGTCCAGCCAAGATTAGCAGTCACCCACCCAACATGCAGCTGACTGCTCGAATGAGCCCAGGTGAGACCAGAATTGTCATGTCGACTCATAGAATAGTGACCAACAATAAATACCTATTGTTTTAAGCCGCTCAGTTTTGGAGTATGTATACTACATAGCAATAGCTGATACAGTGTCCCAATTAGTGGGATTTTGGTTGTATTTGTCATATAATTTTCTCATAAAAAATGAGCCCATAGGAAGAGCTCGAGCAAGTTACACACTTAACAATATGCCCGCCCTAAAAAATTCCTGTTATATTTTGAAGTCATCCAGAAGCAAAAGAACAGAAAATAATTGAAGGGTTGCTTTGGGATAGGTTGTTTTGATTTTGGAGAATGTAAACATGTCTTGTCTAAAAATTGAGCATGTTCTGGGGACATTCAAGCCCACTGTTTGCGTTGCAAATGGCATTCCAAACCCATTTCCACATAGGTAGAAGGATCTTGGGCTGGCATACAGAAAGTGTTTCCGACAAACCATTGCATTCACTGTTACTTTGAGGTCTTTATGTAGAAATGTGAATGGAAATAAGTGCATTGGAGGACCTCAGAAGGGTTGGCAGTGCATTTTAGGTGCTTATCTGAGCCACACGACTTCAGAATCTGGGATGGAAATCTCCTAAGAATAACTATTCTCACGAAATTTCCAATCCCTCTTGTTTTTGGCAGAATTTAAAATTCCATGGAAATTGCTCATGTCACAAGACTTCTGTGTGGTGCTGGCCAGCACCAGGAAGGAGAGCAGCCCAGGAAAGGAAAACCAAACCAATGTGGCTGCATGTTTTCACGCCTTCGAAAAGGTTTGGGTTTGGCTCAAACCAAGAAAAAGCACTTGGGGTTTTTATTTGGTGCCAGCTTTTTCAAATACCATTCACCTGACTCATGAAGCTTTGAACATCAGGAGGAAACAAGGGAATGAATAAATTTTCAATATTCTTGATGTTCAAACATACTTTGAATAAGACTCCTTGCTGGGAGAAAGACTAGAATACCACTGGAGCAAGATGTACTCATACACCCCTGCTAGGGGGTTGGAGTGGCCATGCCATTTGTTTATGTCCATTCTTTATGTGCCAGTTGTACAGGCGATATCAAGGTGTGCAAGATTTAGTTTTCCTGTTTAGACAGCTCACGTGATTGAGTAAGAGGGACAAACCTGGACCATAGTATTTTGCTCTTTCCAAAATTCCACTGGAATTTTAGAAACCAGTGATGCACATTATTTGTGTTTTTGAGATGAATTTTGCCATTTCACTCATCTCATAATTGCATATACTAACTCAACTGCCTGGAATGTTCTACCACCTGTCGTCTGACAAATTCCTATTCCTCCCCCAAACCCAGCTCACACATCAACCTTAATCTTGCCAAACATAATTAACTTCTCCCTCATCTTTGCTACCTCTCTACTTTGTGGATATTTATATTATTGCATTTAACACAAAAAAAGTGTTCTTAGCACAATGCCTGGGGCATAGTCGATGTTCAATAAATGGAGATGGATTGCATAATACTCCACTATAAAAAATCTTCTCTTTCTACAACACATGAACCCTCAATCGACATTAGCCTAATCCTTATCTTTCAGCCTGATACTGATCTACCATTTGTCGTTCCCCACGTGACTTTTGTCCCAGGAGCTTCCACACACTTTCTCTATCCTCCAGGTCCCTCTGTCAGCCTTCTTATGTGCAAATATAGAAAGAAAGTCAGCAAATGCTCATAGGTTAGTACTTTTCCATCAACTAAGGTGCTAATTTAAGTGGATCTTAACTTTTGGACTCCAGCACCATTTCCAGCACTGACTGTCTCATGTCTTACATTATGGTAACATTTGGATTTGAAATACAGAAACTCTTTCCCATGAAGTTAAAACAGGATAAGGATAATCTGATTTGCTTTCTTTTTCAGGTTGCCAGTGGCTGGGACTCATGAAATTATAGCATGAGATGGCAGTGATGAGACAGAGGTCAGGGGTTCACATCTCTGTCTGGTTCAATTAGCATTATTACTTTTCACATTCGCTTTCCATTCTCTTTCCTTTCCCCTCAATCTCAGCCAAGACTGACTCCTACAAACTAGTGCAGTGGAGTAAAGAGGTGCCCAGAGAAAAGAGCACAAGAAGGGCTTGGCAAAAGCCCATTCTTATTTCTGGACAAACCAGCTGACAATGTACGTGCTATTGCTCTGTGTGTGTGTGTGTATGTGCCCATGAAAGGGTCATTTTTTTGTATTTGCACAAAAATAACTGTTTATCTCTTTCTCATATGATTTGAAAAGCATTCATTGTTTCAGTCAGATGGAAGGATTATGTTACTTGAATACTGGTATTTAATGTACATTATCACATTTATTACCATACCAAAACCAGATGTTTAAAATTTGAACTTGAAATTCCATAGTACGGATTGTGTTACCTTAGGGTTACCCTACCACCTAATGCTCAGCTGTATTTTGTTATGGCTTTAATAGAGCAATAATGTGTTTCCACAAGTCTTAGTCTGGTATTAGATGACATGTGGGCTAATTTTGGTGGGTTGAGCAGACTGGCAGGGGGTTATACAAACCAGAACAATTTGCTTTCCCAACAATTAGAAAATATGTGAAAAATTATTGCTAATAGTCAAGGCCTCTCTCTCTCTCTCTTTTGCTCTCACTTTTGCTGTCTCTCCTTTTCTCTCCCTTTCTCTCTTTCATTCTTTATCTTTCACTCCTTTATTTAAAACTCATTGTCATTTTAACTGTCTCCAAATGTCCCTCAAACTTCTTCCAGAAACAGAATCTACCTCTAATTACTAACTTCTTATCTCAACAAAAGCTATTTGAAACTTTTTCTCTTATTTGATTTCCTTACTTTGCTTCTATACGGATCAAACAAGCAAGCTCAGAAAACTGATAACATTTCCGATTTTCGAAATTATAATCAATGCAATTTAGATAAGGTAAGAAAAAAAAGAAATAAAAGCCTGTGTGGAACTCAGCCAATGATTCATCTATCTGCATTAATAGGTTCCAGCAATGGTACTACAGGCACGGAAAACCACGCCAGTTTGCCACTGCACTTAGCAAGCACATGAGCTTAAAAATAAACTTTGACAATGCAGATCTCTTTGTCCTTTCGGGAATGGAAAGCATTATGTACTTCAAAGCATAGTAAGCCTGATTTGAAAATATAGTTGGGATATTGTTACTGTGGCAATTGGGAGGGTCTTTAGACTGCACACAGGACATGGATGTTTCGTGTGTAAACAGTACTTGAGCCACGAACTAGTGAGGATAAATGACGCTGGCAACTTTGATATGTTCATTCATAAGGAAGAAACTTCTGTCTCTGAAGTTCTCTGGAACAACTGGGATATAGTTTCTCATTTTAATCAGGAAATTTCTTCCTGAAACAAACTGCAAAAGCAGAGAATTTGAGTAGCACATTTCACTTGCATACAGCAGCGTTTGTTCATTTTGAGTGTTTTTGGACAGGAAATCGATCTACAGGGTAACATTCACACAGAAAAGGAAACAGTATGGGACGATGGCTTGTTAGTACAAGTGACTCTGTTTTGGAAGTTACGGACAAGAAACCTTGGAGGAAGAACGGCTTTAAAGATCAAAAGCATGATGACTCCTGATGAAAACATCACCAAATGATGAACCCACGAGCAAAAAGGAACTTCTACTGTAAGTATTTTTGCAATAATCAAGTATCTTATTTGTTTTCAAAATTTCTGGAGTATGCTGAGTAGATTTCTAAGCAAGTATTTGATGTAGGGAGTCTTCATTATAGACAAGACTATAATTAAACTCATTGGGTGGTTCCAACAGAGGGCTAGTTACTGGAATTTTTTCCATGACCTTGCAACACTGAAATAAATTGCCTGTTAATTTGGGCATGTTTTATACAATAGGCATGTTATATCAGGCTTTTATTGTGTGATGTGTTACTTTTGGCAATGCAAAATTGGTCAACATGTGTATCTGTAAATTCCATTGCATTTGGATTCTGATAATTTATGTTTATTTTGGTTTCATGTTGTGGTCAATCTTGTAATCAATTTGCTCTTATATAGATCCACACATATTATTTGTAATTTACATAGAGAGAATATTAGCTATTTCTTGAGTGAATCTTATTTGTACAGTAGGGAAGAGATGGCTTAGAATCTTGGAAATGGGGAAGGAAAGGTATAAGTTTAAACTGAATCTTGGGAACTAAAGCTTACATTCTTTTTACATTTCCATAGTTTATTTGGCAAGCAGTTTTGTTTGAAATTACTTAGATGTATCTATATGAGATTCCTCACCTCAGAGGAATATTGTTATGATCTTAGAAATGTGAATAAATCTCATCAAAAGCATAACCCTATGTAAGTACTAAATATAGTAAAGTCCATCTCCAATGCTTGGAATATAGTATATACTTAATAAATATTTTTGAATGCTCAATAAATGCTGGTGCTGGGTAATGCATATCCTGATTGTACAGCAATTATTTCATATTAGGATTTTATTTTATAAAATTATCCATGAATGTGATTGAATTCTGTTTAAGACGAACTATATAATAATGGGGTTACACTGTATTGCTTTTTTCAATAAGGAAGTTCTTTAAATATAAAATTTCTAATTAATTGCTATATTTGGTTGTTTTTCTTTTGAAATACAAAAGATTTTGTTCTATGTACTGTTTACTTGAAAAGGTGTCACAAAGTTTTGGGAGCAATTTGACATGTAAAATGTTAATAATTAGATATCAGCACATTTCAGATTAGTGTGTAATGTCCAGGTGCTGGTTGGTGGCACTGGGACGTGGAATTACCACTTTGGGAGCCCCTCTGCTGAGGGTCGATGATACTGGCCAAGTCCTCATGGGAGGGAGATAATTTTTCAGGTGTAAGGGGCATGAAAACGAACTTAGAAGTAAGGGATAAAGAAACTCTTTGTGTCAAATTGAGTGTTTCTGGAGTGACAAGACGAGCAAAAGATGTGGGGAAAGGAATTGAGTAGGAGAGAATTGGAGAGGTAAGGTAAAGTCATTCTAGATGTCATCTCCATCATATATGATGCCAGATAACACCGTTCTAGTACTCTCATTTTTTTCTAGATCACTTAGTATGGACGCTTGCTAAACTGAACACATGTACTTCTGCTACCACAAGTAGGAAACAAGAATGCTGACAATGTGATTTTTTTGTATCTGATTAAAAGTGGTGGTGAGATTTTTTGGGGGGATGGGTAGAAACTGTCATAAACTGCAACCAAGCAACAATGATCGTTAAGGTAAAATTCTTTTGAATAATCCTATATAACATTGGATATAAGCTTAACATTTGAATATGATTCAATTATGTATATAACAATAGATTAGCTTAAATTTTCCAGTTAACAGTTCAGTGTATTTATAGGTAAATTAAGCTACACAAATCCATCAGAATGTAAATCTAATTAAAAGAAGACATTCTACAGGAATAGCTTAGAAGTTCTTTTAAGAATTTGAAGGTGGGTTGATATCATCTACATGAACACGTTTTCAGGCTAAAATCATCTGGATTTATTATGCAAAATTCTGGGACCCCAATCAAGAAATGATGCAACATTACAGAAGTCCTAAGTCTTTTTTTTTTTTTTATTACTATGAAAGCCAAGTAATAATGTATGGTAGAATGATTACAATTTTGAGGATTATCTTCAAAAAGACTGTAGGTTTAGAAACAACCCCCCGACCCTAGGCAGGATTAGGATGTAGTTACTAATGACAAATGATAATTTGAATTTACATGGCATGTTATAATTTTTTAGTATTAGTTTAAAAATTAGTTGTTTGACATCAAAAGTTCTATAGACAGAGCCATCCAAAGATTTGTTGTATCCAAGAGGAGTGAACTCGCTGCTAGTGTGGTGGCATGTCGTAGCGGAGGTGGCTCAGCAAGGAGGAAAAGGCAAGGATTTTGAGTCAGTCAAATGAGTTCTGGAATTCCACATCCCCCACTTGTAAACTGTGTGACCTTAGGCAAGTTACCTAACTGCTAAGTCTCTGGTCCTCCATATATTAAACGGGGTTAATAATTCTTCTTTCTTTGACTTTTTGTGAAGATGAAATGAGATAATTTATGTCAGCAGCCTGGTATGTAGTAAGCGTGTAATAAAACAATTAAAGAACACAGGGTTTAGGGACCTTCCTAGCTTTGAGATCCTAGTAATTCTAGCTTTTTTTTAGATTATTAATATTTATTGTTTTAGAGATGGGGTCTCGCTTTGTTGCCCAGGCTGGAATGCAGTGGTCTGATCATAGCTTACTGTAGCCTTGAACTCCTGGCCTCAAATGATCCTCCCACCTTGGCCTTCCAAAGTGCTGGGATTATAGGTGTGAGCCATCACACCCGGCCTTTAGCTGTTTAATGTAACCTAAATTCCTCAACTGTGCTAAATACTATCCAAAGATGCAACTCAATAGAAATGTCTGTTCTCCACCTAATGGGCTCCTAGTATAAGAACATTGTAAAGCAAAGCTACAAGTGCGGTGAAAGAATAAGGTCCTCAGAATGCATGAGTTGAAAGTAATGAAGGGTTTTTGTTTGTTTTAGATGTGTTAGGTGATCTAAATCAATTTGGTTGACCATTCTATAGTCCTTGATGATTAAGACAGTGGAAACACTGGATTGGTCACTGATTTATTTCCCCTTTCATCTTTTGCATATAACCCGTGTTTAATTATTTCAGAAAATTCACTGTAGCCGATAAAGTCATTCTCAGCAGAAAGGACTTTTTGAAAGTTTAAGGGTTAAAAATGTTCATCTTTAAGGTGTTTCCTATTGTATCTTTCTATGGTGCCTGCAAAAATCAAAATTTCATGTTGGTGGTGTATTTTGATGATTTCGTTTATTGTTCTCATTTATTCCGAGCACATGTGCAAAGCACTGGGGTAGGTAGAGCCACCATTTTCAGACTGCTGCTTAAACTGGCTTAAGCAATGTTTACACATCTCAGATCTGAAAAAACAGTCTAGCTGTTAGATTTGCTATCTGGAAAATCACCATGTATTTGGGGGAGTGTCAGTAGTAGCTATTAGAGAAAATATTATCTTGCATTTACATACTGGCATTTCTTTTTTTGAAACATGTCCACATATGTTTGAAGTAGAGAGGAAAGTAGAGAGGGAAGCTACATTCACTTCATTTGTTGCATAATGTGTGTAATAAACACAGAAATGAAGCACCATTGTCTAATGAGAAAGTTGGATATGAAGTAATGAGACTTTGCATCTAGTATAATTTGTTTAATGATTTTATGACCATCTCTGATTTTTATCCAGAAATACATGATTCATCTGCTTCTCTTATGCTTTAATAGGGATCTTAAACTTGAGCTCTAATTAACACTTACTTCGTGTTGTGTCATCCACAGAAGCCCAACCAATCTGGCACAACAAAGATATAGTTAACTGGGTTCAACCCCAGGCAGGTGTGCAGAAAAACCTGAGTATGTGGAATTTTCTGTCTTCTCTACCATCAGTATATCCCAGACACTTCAAGAGAGTGAAGGTGTTCATCTTCATTCATTAAGATTTTTTGTTTTACAAAACAGTCAATACCACAAATGTGCTCTTGGCTACCTTCCCTGGCTGCTGAGATGACATGGCCTTGGACAACTCTATTTTGTGTGTTTTGTGTGTGTGTCTTAAATTAACGGTGTCAGTATGAGCTAAAATGCTGCCCTATTGCTCCTCAAAGGTGGTAAACTACCTCTTATAAGTGTAGATTTTAAGGCTTGGGGCATAGTTTTATCTGTTGATTTTAGTCTAGTAATCAGATGTCTTCTTTGGTATGACCGAAGGTTTTAGCCAGGCGCAAGAGAAAAATAGAAAACTACAAAGCAGTAGAGTCCAGCTACCTCCCACAAGTTAACAACCAGGTGATTTAGAAGAGAAATAGGTTGAATCTTTCATATCAGTAGCTTTCTGTATGTAATATCCCTTTAGTTCAGTTTCTAATTTTCTTTTCTTTTAAAAGGTTAACATTACATGTCTGTACAATGCTTTTGATTGGTGGCTTTTCACGAAAATGTAGGCTTAAAGAGGAAATCATGGAACAGAGGGCTCAGATGCATTTTGAATTTCATGAAATGAATCTTAAAGAAGACCTTGCTCTGCATGTGCATAGCTCAGACCCTATTATCCAGCATTACAAAGTTCATTCTAATCCCCCTATCCATTGCTTATTTGTACCATTTTTCTCTGACAGTGAGAAACCTGGCTTCCATTATCTACAATTTATTTACGTATGTGTTCAACTCTAGTATATATATAGCTTCAGAACTGCTGACTAGTAAGAAACAAATTCACCAACTAGAGTTAGTATTAGTATGTGTGTAAAAATAATTGTGTCTCTGTACTTACAGTATTCAGTATAGACACAGTTTTCTAAAGTTAAGTCAATGACTTTTTCCTACACCCCTTTCAGTGATATTATGTCATACATTTGCAATACAGTTAGACTCATTTGTCACAGTCTGCAAACCATCTTGTCAATCCCTAACATCTTGGTTGATGTTTAAAAATTTGCTTACAGTAGAGTTTACTTTTTGTATTGTGCAGGTAAATAGGAATCTACCACCCCAGTGCCATGCAGAATTGTTCTATCACCCTGCAAATTCCTCTATGTAGTTACTTTGTCATCAACTTC